GAAATTGTACAAATTGATACATGCATTTATAGTAGTGGCTCAGTGCAATTGGAAGACTTAGCCATGTGTAAATTGGACAGTAGCCCTACACCCTAAAAAATTTGGGTATAAAAGAACCATCAAACAAATCTCAGGTAAATGTCATCAGTTAACAATTCCTAGCTATCACTTGGATTGTTAGATGCTACTGAATTCAGTATCACTCCTTATATTGAGGTTCCATCTCTCTGAGGAAGTACACACAATATCAGTTAGGGAGAAATGTATGGTTTTCAATGCCATGTTAGCAGAGGGCACTGTGGTTCACTATCTTCTTTTCTGATTATCTAGAGCCCCCAACAAATTATGTCACCATGTGTGTGTGCATGTGTTCATGTGGGTATGCATTTGTGTGTGTATGTGTGCATGTGTGTGATGGTATGCATGGGTGTGCATGAAGAGAAAGAATGGGGGTAGCAAGGAAGGACTAATAGTGGGAATGAAGAAGGATAAAAGATTGAATCACAAACTAAAGATCTGTCCTCACTTATCAACACTTTGTGTGTATTTGTGAATCAAGTACTATTTATTGACAGAAGAGAGCCCAAGTCAGTGTTGTGAGAGAGTATCTAATGATCAGAAAACTCCTAAGCCTGTCCCAGTCTCACCCTCATCTTCTTCTAACTTCTTTGCACCTGGGTTGGTACTGTAAGCTTATGACGGTGGGATTAGGTAGTGTGAGGTATTACAGAGAGCTAAGTCAAGAGGCAAAGATCCTTTTGTTTATCGTGAAGAAAGCAACTGGACAGCTTATAGGAATAGCCTTCAGTTCTGTAAGTATTTTTCCATTTCTGGCAAGTTTGAGAAAGATATATTTGAAGGGCACTGAGTGTTTGATTTTAAAACAAAGAATTAGAAGAAGAGAATATTCTGGACCTCTGGATCTGGGCTAGGGCTGGGGATAAAATTGGGAGAGAATATGCAGGAAATGCACTCAAAACCCATTGTAGAGCCACCTGACAAGCTAGTAAGTGGAACTTGATGATGACAAGATCTCTGCAAACTTTGGTTACTAAATTTATTTAAAAGGAACCCCAAACTCACTCTCTTTTTTTGTGGCTTTATAACAAATAGTCTTCTGGGAAAGGAAAGCTCTAGGGTGTTAAGTGACCACAGAGCAAATAGTTCTTTACTTCCTGAACATGCCTGAAACCTTGTTCTGGCATGGACAGGCTGATGCAAGTGTGTAGACAGGGAGAAAGCAAGTGGAGATGACCATAAGGAGATGACCTTGCAGAGACTACAAGGCAAAGTGGCCAATTTAGCCTTCAACTTTTGAGGTTAAAGTGTGTGTTTGTTTGTTTGTTTGTTTTATTCTGAAAGGTACAGCAGGAGCTTGGGTAGCTAACATTCATAGGCCTGTCCCATCAGGAGGAAAATATGAAATTCTCCTTTCTAGCTCCCCCACCCCCTTATTTAGTCCAACAAACAGTGGAGTTGTCTGTCTGCCTGTATCTCAGTTGAGGAAAAGGGAATGGAAGTCTAGGGTAATAATGGCAGCATCAGAGAGCTTGTTTCAAGAATCTTCTGAAATCTCTTTTTCTTAGCTGGAATTATGGAGGATCATACTCTACAGTTTTATAGAGCTGAGTTTTTCTTTTTTCTTTCCTTCTTTCTTTTTTTTTTTTTTTTTAACAGCTGAGTTTTTCTACCTTGGGTCTAAAGTGACACTAACCATAGTTGCCTATAGAACTATGCCTGGAAATAATACTTTACTTCATCCACTTTTTTTCTACAGAACAGTTTATGATCTTCAAAAGGGGAAGAGCTAACATTGCTTTAAGAACAGGAAAACATTGTCCCTCACAAAGGAATGAGTTACTTGACACTGATGGATGCAAACATGTGAAACCTCCTCTTACAGTTAAAATCAAGTCTGATGCTAGATTTAGTGTTCTTTAGCCCCAAGAAATGCTTGGAAGTTCTAGGCAAGCATGGTCAGGATGAATTTCACTTTTGGCGATATCTGTGGCCAACAGGACTGGCTTCCTAGGCAGGAAAGGGTCAAATTTATTCTGCTCTTTTCGAAGGGCTTGCAGAGAGAACTGTAGGGTAAATCCACATAGAACCTCTACAGGGATTGGTTAACTGTCTGACTCAAAAATAAAACACTGTACACAAAACACACCAAGTAACCATGATTATCCTAGTGCAAATCCTGGGCCATGAAGACGCAGGGATTAACCTAGCAGTTGTTATGTAACTCTTCCTGAGGAGATTTAGAAAGAGGTATGACTTTCAGACTCAGGGACAAGAACACTGTCCAAGCCCAGATACATGATTTCAAAATTATATAACCATGAAGACACCAGCAAAAGGGGGGAGTGTAATTGGGAATATGGAAGTCAAGTGTGGTTTGAAGTTCTTTGGGGTATCCGTTAGGGGTGTCAAAGGAGTCCAAGGAAGGCTTCTTAAGACAGAATTTTGAGACCAGATAAGTTAATAGTAAGGGATTATGTTCTCACATTATAGAAATCTGGATCTAGTTGGAGCTGCCAGATAAAATAGAGATTGCCAGATAAAATAGAGATGCCCAGTTAAATCTGGAATGTCAGATAAACATTTTTTTAAAAAAATAAGTACATATCATGAAATATCTGGGATTGACCTTTACTAAAAAATACTTTTTTTTTAATCTGAAATTCAAATTTAATTGGGTTCTTTGTATTTATTTACTAAGTCTGTCAGTCCTAATCTTAGTGGTCTGTCCAGATGAGGGGAAAAGTAAGTTGATGGTTTCTTACTACTTTGCAAGAATTGGGGAGTCCAAAATAACTCTATCTGTGAGGAATTCTCGAGTTTTCTTTGTGGCTTTGGTGGGGCTGGGATATGTCAGTTGCTGGTGGGATGAGTGCAATGCTGCTATTGGCTGAACACCTCTGATTCCCAGGGTTTCAGTAACACTTGGGAGAGGCACAAAACCTACCTGTTGACCAGGGTTAGAGAGGGCCCACACACAAGGCCAGGATTCAGTGAGCAGAGGAGCTGGTGGCGTATTGCCTGAAACTACTGTGGACTTTATGGGGTGAAGACCCGTTAGTGCCTTCTCTGTGGTCTGATGATGAAATCACAGGGTCAGGATCTAATGATCTAAGGTTCAGAGTATTGGTTAAGTTTCTTCACTTATTATTCACTCTGTTGACAAATGTAACATAGATAGCACACACTATGCACTAGGCACTTGTGTAGGCTCTGAGACAACAGAAATGGACAAAAATTGACACCCAACCTTATGAAGCATATTTGGGGAGGGAGAGAAGACAGACATGGGTTACAACCTGAGCAGGTGACCCAGGGACCTAGCCAGGTTCCCCATCCCAGTTTCATGCTCCTCATATGTTTCTAGTAAAGAAGTTGAAGACTTTCAGGAGAGAGTGAAAGTAGTAATTGGGGAAAATAAAATAGATTTTAGAGAAGTAATCATTAAAACCTGATTTTGGAAGTGATAGGAAAAAGTTCCGAATTTGAAATTATACAGCATAAGATTTGAGGATGTGCAGTGGTTTGCATGAGTCCAAGTTTGAAACTAAGAGCATCAGCCTGCATTCATAATGGGTACAATAAGGAATATCAGGCTCCAGTATGGAATACCAACATCCATCAGTAGTGGATGCAGTAGGAATCCAATACAATCAAGTTCCCTGACACTGGATTATGGGAGGGCTTGGCTCAGGGTATGAGATTAAGGCTATTTGAAAGTTTGTTGGAGTTTTTCAGAATTTTTCTTCCAAAAATAAGTTTTAATGACTATGAAAGAAAAGGAGAAAGAAGAAAACGCCAGCCTAAAGCTTAGCACATTTATTTTAAAATTTACCTTTGTTTGTAATTTTATTTGACTTGTGTTTGAAGAATGACAATGCACACTTCAGGACTAAATTAATGGCCAGGAACACCATACTGGAGAGGTTCACGATTTCCATAGGAGATGTTGGAGCTATGTGAGAAATATGTGGCTGAAGAAACTCTGTCTAGATATGGAATTAAAGAACAACCCTGTTATTAATTACCCTGCATTAACTTCTCTATTTCTCTCTGTGTATGTGTGTGTGTGTGCATCAGGATGAACTCAATATATTCATGGATGTTAGTATCCCTGGCTCAGAGCTCCTCCTGTGCAGACGACTACATTGTCATCTCCCAGACCTAAAGGAAAAGTCTCTGAATTACTTGAGGATTAAGTAAAGACTGTAAGGAAACACAGCCCGTAAAAAATGCTTAATGAACATTGGAAAAATGAGCCTGGGATCAGCAGTTGGCATAATGGCTATGTTGCTGGACTCCCATGTAGTCAACCACAGTTTGAGTCCTGGACCCAGTAGCTTAAACTCACATCAGGTGCATGTGTGTGTGTGTGCCCAAGATCCCAAGAGGAGAATGAAGGAGAAGGGATTGCGGTGTGGCCATCCCCCCCGGGGGGTGATTTCTCGCTTTCTCTCTCTCTCTCTCTCTGTCTTTCTGGCAAATACTCGTGCCCTATAGCAAAAATCTCTCAAGAAAAAAAAAAAAAAGGAAAGAAAACTCAGTTTATTTTGCAGCTGGATGGAAGACTATGTAAAACCTAAAAAAAGCTGTAAGTGCTGTTAAAGACTGGAGATACCATTTAGCCCATTTCCCTCCCTTTACAAATCATAGAACTGGTGATCACAGAGGGGAAATTGGTCACTGAATCAATTCCCACAGTACAGTAGTGGTGGCTTTACTGGAAAAGTCTATCTACTTAGATCTTCAAGTTTTAAAATCTATCAGTTGTCAGTTTACACCTCACTATATTGAGTGCTTCCATTGATTTACACTGTACTTTCTTAAAAATCTTTTAAAAAGATAACTTTTCCCCTTTTGTGTCAACACAAAATACTGAGCTTCTTTATCAGAGTTCTTTTCTTCTCCAGTTTAAACATTTAAACACCAATGGTTCCTGTGACTTGATGGTTATTTTTTTTTTTTCCTCCTCACTTTCTAAGGAGCCTGAAAGTGAAACCTCAGCCACTCAAAGACTTTCGAGATGAGTGAGAACACCACTTTGGCCCCCCCAGCTCCAACCCAGGGACCGACCACCCCACGCAAAGGCCCTCCCAAGTTCAAGCAGAGGCAGACTCGACAGTTCAAGAGTAAACCTCCTAAGAAAGGTGTGAAAGGGTAAGACCAAGATGGAAAAGAAAGCTTTCTCTTATTCCTTTTTCTTACAATGCTGCTTTGATTTTGAGAGATTAATGCTCACTATCAAACTTAGAAATATTTCCACCCCATCCTCTACTGTCCTCTCTAGCTCAATCTTTGCTGACTCATGTCTTATTAAACCTAGAGTTTTTTCTTTCTCAGCCCCCAAGTCTATGGGCAAATTTAATACAGCAAATGGAACCCATTAGAGTACCCTTTGCTTGCCCTGTCATTCCAGGCTTTTCTTGACCACTCACTCCTCTTTGCTCACATAGCCTATGCTTTAATCTGGAATATGTTACCACCAGCCATTTCCAGAAAGCACAGTTTATTTTTAAAGTTTTGAATTTTATGTCTTCAACTCTTCATTTGTCTCTTCTTTTTCTTGGCAAAATCCTATTCATTTCTGTTACACAGTTCATGTGCTCATATGTTAATTTCCATTTGAAACTACTATTGACTTTGTTGAACTTTATAATTACTTCCGTGCTTGCATTTTTAACACTCATCTGTCATAACTTGTAGTATTTTCTATTTTATGTATTTATTTACATCTGTTCTCTGAGACTAACAACCCCGTCAGAGAAAAAATTTTTTTCCTTAACTCTCTCTGTCTTACACAGTGCCTGACACTTAGTAGATGTTTAGTTAATGCTTTGGAATAAGTTGACAAATGGATGAATTAATCATTTTAATGCCTTTTGTTTTGCTTTCTTACTTCAATTTCTATTTTAAAAATGTGAAACGTGACTAAATTGTTCCACTGCTAATTTTTTCTGGCTCTCAATCATCTCAGGCTACTTTTCAACAGGGGAGAAATATTTCTTCATTGGGATACACTAAAACCTGTTGGAGTGACATTTTCTTTGTCCCAATTCAATGAGAACAAAAGGAGTTTCTTAAATACAAACACTGGAACCTCTTCTTCCTCCTTGAGTCAAGATCCTCCCATGTGAGTAACTCTAGGATCCTTTTGCTCTAATCTCAGCTAATTTTTCTCTCTCTTTTTTCCTTAGATTTGGAGATGACATTCCAGGCATGGAGGGGCTGGGAACAGGTAAGCCACTCACAGATTTAAGTAAGAACTTTGCACTTAGAGTTTAACCATTTTATACCTTCTAGGCCTCAAGGGGCAGTCGGAAAGTTTAAGAAATACTTAGGGCATCAGATCCTTTGAAGATGTAGAAAGGTGGAAATGTAATTCACCTTCCTAAGTCAGTCCATGGAAGTGCCCAGATACAAAAACTTGAGAAGAAATCAGAGTAAGACCAAAGTTTAATGAATTCTAGTTTCATTCAATAACTGTTGAGGGCATATAATGGTGAATTGTAGACTTTTTTGGTTGAATGATTCTTAGAGTTGGTCTAGACTTTATTTTTCAGAAGAAAAATCTTTGCCGTAGAGGAATGATGTGACAATCTGAGGCCATAGAGTGAGGTATTAAAAACAAGGGTGGGGCCTAGAGAACCTTTCCACTCTACCCAGCAAACCACTCCCTTACCAACTTCCTCTTCTTACACATCCTCCAGCCCCCAAACAGGATACTGCACACTGACTGCATCTCACACCGTATTTTTCATTGTCTCGGATATTTTCATTCATTGGATAATGCATATAATCACTGCCATTTTTTAAATGAATATACTTTATTTCTCAGAGAAATTTTAGGTTTACAGAAAAATTAACCAGAAAATACAGAGAGTTCCTGTACATTCCTTCTGAATCCCCCTCTCTTCCCCACAACAGCTTTCCCTATTTCTGATATCGTGTGTTACTGTGACATATTTACTACTTTGAATGAGACAATACTGACATATTATTGCTGTAGTAACTAAGTCCATTGCTTATATCAGTGCTCGTTCTTTGTGTGGTACATTTCTGTGCACCGATAACTGCATAATGTCACGTGTCCCCACTATGGTTGGTACCATGCAGAGTTGTTCCTCTACTCTGAACAGTCTCCATGCTACCCCTGATCCTAGTTCCCTCCCCAAACCCCTGACAACACACTCATCTTTTAATCATCTCTGTAATTTTATCTTTTCCAGAATGCCATATAACTAAAATCATACAGCATATAACTTTTCCAGATTGGCTTTTATTTATTTATTTTTTACTTAGCTATTATTAAGCAATATTATTTATTTATTTTAGAGAGAGATTTTTGCTATAGGGCATGTGCTCTCACCAGAAAGACAGAGACAGAGAGACAAAAAGTGGGAAATCACCCCCTGGGCGGATGACCATGCTGCAATCCCATCTCCTCCATTCTCCTCTCAGGATCTTGGACATGTACACACATGTGACTGTTGTGAGTTTTAAGCTGCCGGGTCCAGACCTTAAACCGCTGTGGACTATGTGGGAGTCCAGCGATGTAACCATTATGCCATCTGCTAGTCCCTCTTTAATTCTTTTTAAGAGAGAGATTTTTGCTATAGGGTGTGTGTGCTTGCCAGAGAGACAGAGAGACAGAAAGCAAGAAATCACAAGGCTGCAATGTCTTCACTTCGATTTTCCTCTAGGGGTTTTGGACACACATACACAAGCACCCAGTGTGAGTTTCAAGCCTCCGTGTCCAGGACTTGAACCATGGTCGGCCATGTGGGAGTCCAGCCACATAACCATTACGCCATCTGCTGGCCCCTACTTAGCAAATATTTATTTAAGGTTCTTTCATGTCTTTCCATGCCTTGATAATTCTTTTTAAAAATTTAAAAAAGTTTTTAAACTTTATTTCTTGCATGAGAGAGGAGAACACACATGAGAGAGAGATAGAGACAGACAGACAACCTCAATAGGGTCTTCTCAAGTGGTAATCCTCCCCCAGCCTTTCAGCCAGTCAGGATCATGAGTGCATGTGCACGTACCTGGGATGTTTTTTCAGGTCAACCCAGGATCTGAACTCTAATCAGCCATGTAGCTCCATCGGTGCCGAGTGGCGCAATACTGCCCATGCAACTGTGGCTGGGCCTGGTAGCTCATTTCTTTTTATTGCCTCATAACAGTCCATTGGATGGATGCAGTACAGTTTGTTTATCCTATCAAGATAGCAAAGAATATCTTGGTTGTTTCCAAGTGCTGGGTGATAATGAATAAAGTTGCTGCGAATATTTGTGTGTAGGGGTTTGTGTGGACAACTCGTCAAACACACTTTTTTTTTTCTTTTTTTAAGTGTCTGTGTTTTTTTTTTTCCCCCATAGGGTGCATGTTCTCACTGGAGAGGAGAGAGAGAGAGAGGGAAAGTGAGAAATCACCCCCTGGGGGGGATGGCCACACCACAGTCCCTTCTCCTCCACTTTCCTCTTGGGACTTTGAGCATGCACACACATGAGCCCAGTGTGTTTCAAGCCACCTGTTCCAGGACTCGAACCATGGTCAGTCATGTGGGAATCCAGGCACCTTAACCACCATACCACCTCTGTTCCTCAATATATTTGATAATGATGACACTCATAATAATCAGTGTCCTTACCAGGCAATCTTTTGTGTATTTGCTTTCTGCACTCAAATACCACTCCTAGAATCACGAATAAAATTTCCGGCCACTTTATAAAGCTCACTTGCTATTTTTCGAAATCAGCCACTTCTGTATTTGGGCCGGGTATAGACAGAACAGCAAATTAGCGTTGGATTCTAGAAGATATGTGTAACTGTCGTATTTGGAATAATATGGAGACTTTTACTGAGTGAAGGTCTGAAGTTTTGACCTAGCCCTAGCCCCAGCTCTATAATTCTGTGGTATTTTGTGAGTTACGTCAAGTGTTAGCCAGCTCTCAGTAACTTGGGATAGTAATATCTTATTGTCTGAAACAAGGAACTAGATTCGAAAATAACTTGAGGTTGCTTCTCAGTATGTGATTGGATATAGGCATTTCAAAATATGAAGGACTGACAAGCAAGACAGAGGAGCCCAAGAACCCCACTGGACTGGTGGGGAGTAAGAAGACTATGGATTTCCAGACCGTGGGAATTTAAACCGTTCCCATCTTATCCTTATTTTAACCTGTAACCTAGAATCAATCTATTCTCTCCTTAGTAGTGGTGCTTTAGAGACACCCTGTGTGATCAGTGGTCCTTGCCCCCCACCTACCCCCAGTCAAAAATCACCGGTCACTTCCCATACAGAATGGGATACAAAATGGAACCAACAGAGATGCTTGGAAGGCAACACGAAACCAATTGGTCTGTTTTTTCCTGGGGTGGTTTCTCTTCCCAGTCACCAGAGCAGTGACTAGGAGAGAGAAATGAGGTGTCTCTGCCTGAAGGGTGTCTTTTTTAGCAGAAGAGGCCCCCCCTTGGGGTGAGTTTGGCTGACATCTTCCTCCTCTCTTTCTTGCAGATATCACGGTGATTTGTCCATGGGAGGCATTCAGTCACCTGGAATTGCATGAGCTTGCTCAGTTCGGGATTATCTGAGAACCAGAGGTTCTGCCACTCTCAACAGCACGTGCTGTAACTTTGATTATTTTTGTCCTATTGACCTGCCAGAGTCTTGAATTTCAGCGTTCGGAAGTGGTTTCTTTGGCCTACAAGGTCGTTTCCCATCAGTTACTGGAAGACTTCTTTTAGTGTCAGAATCTCTCTTGCCGTTTAGCTCAGTTCAGAATCATGGATGAAAACCCACTTCTGTCAGGCTTTTCATACTTTCCCCCCTTTTCCTATCAGCTGGTTAGAAGTCATCAGCCTTTCTCGAGATTTTGTGTGTAAGTTCTTCAGATCTATTTTTGCTAGGCATTCATTGTGATTAGTAGACTCTTAACATTTATGTCACTCCCCTTCCCCCTGTCTTACTTAATAAAGGACATATTTACCTTGAAGTTTATGGAGAAGTTGTATTAAATGCTGTATGCAAATGTCGGATGTTCTGTTCTGAGAACTAATTCAACGAAGAAGCACAGTCATACCGGAAGGCAGCTTAGCACATGCAAAAGAGCACAGGTTCTAATTCTGCTTTGTAAATCTGTAAAGCATGAACTTCCTGGGTCTAAATCTTTTTGAACTAGGTTATTCCAGAGGGCAGAGTTGCCGTGAAGCTCTAAATTGTACATTCCAAATCGGCGGAACACCAGAGACTTAAACTTACACCTCTGACAATGTGAGCCTAGTTTTCCAGTGCCCTGGGTCAGGAAATTTCTCTTTCAGGCATCCCCTCAATGAAATTATTCTATTCAATGACTACAGGTGAGAACCACAGCTTTTTGTGCATACATTGGCTTTGTGTCTATCTGTAATAAATGACCTTTAAACTGTCCATCGAAAATATTTATATATTCTAAGAAGCAAAGGCTAAGTAGTTGAATCCACTGAATAAAATAATGGTTTGCTTCACCCTTGAAGTTGTGTCAAATGTAATGTGCACATAGCTATCTTTTCCTAATACTTTCAAGGCAATTGAGCAATTCAAATGCTGTTTCTGTCAGACGTGGGTCCTTTGGTACAAACAGTATGAATTTCTTCACGTTGGTTTTTCAATCTGCGGTGAAAGAATGGAGTAAATTAACTGAAAAGAGCACAGGATCACAGAGAGGGAAGCGATTCAAATTCTAGTCCTAGATCTACCAGTGAAGTGCTTCATAATTTTGAGCAAAGACATCACTCTTTAGACCCTCCAGTTGACCTGATTCTGATAACGTGAGGTTCATGTAGTGATAAATTCTGTGATTTCAAGGTCTTCGCAGTCTTGGCAGGAGGATTAGAGGAGTTCAACATCCAAGAGAATTTCTTCTGCTGCAGAATAGTAAAAACCTTGTGCTTACTATTTTGCACAAATAATCAGGTTACCTTCTTGCCAGATAACGAGGAGTACAGAAGAAGAAGCGAGGCAAAATTCGAAAACGGAGCCAAGATGTGCAAGAAGGCATAGCAGTAAGGTGTGCTTTCCCCTCCAGCAGGAACTCCTGCCTCCACCTGTGCACCTGCTTGCCCTCCGGCCAGAGCTGGCCCTGACTCTTCGAGTCAGCTGCTCCACCAGACAGCCAGTGCCTCAGTCTCCGCTTGCTCATCCCAGGGCATCTTTCAGTCTTGGATGAACAAATGGGCTCTTCTCCAGCTGCATGAGTGAGGCTCTGGGTTATATTCAGCTTGCTTTGCAAATTTTTCTCTAAACATGAAGCAATTTGTTGACAAAACAGAATGCACTCAAGAAACTATATCCGATGACCAGAATGGAGAGGATCTAGAAACCATGCTGTGTGAGGAACTGTCATAGGAACTAATAATATTTAGCCCAAAGGAGAAAATTGTAGTTACCAGCAAGTATTTTGAAAGTCATGATGAAGCAAGACGAAGCAGACATTTCATGGGAGATTCCAGCATTTAATGGTAACCTGGAGTAGATGTAATTTAAAGCCCATTCAAAATGCAGAATTTTATTATTTGCATCTCTAAATTTTAATAATTTCACTTTTTAAATTATTTCTAATAAGAAACTCCTTAATGTGTGGAGTATATACAAAAAAGATAAAGGCTAGTCATTGTCCCAGTCAGACCCCTGGCAGCAAAAATATGCCAAGTGCAAACAGAGACTTGAAGAAAGTTTAACAAAGGGACCTTTTACAAAGGCTTGGGAAGTTATGGAAAATTTACAAAGATGATAGAATGACTTGGAGCTAGCAACAGGTGGGAGCTATTACCAATCCTAGACCTGGTGAACCCCAAAGGAGCAGTTCTCCCTGTAGGAGAGGACCTTCTGACAAGGTTGAGGGACACAAGACAGACACAGTCAACTGCTTGTGATCCTAATCAGGAAGGGCTGGGCTGAAGCTAACAAATTCTCCGATGTTCTCCTCTCATTCTCTGTTCTACCACTGATCCTCCCATTGACTAAACCCACTGGAAGGCAGAGTCTCAGTGATGCAGTCATTAAAGCTCATCCTCGTGTCAAAAACAGGTGCAGAAGGGTGGATGTGAAGGGCCAGACAAAAAATACCCAGCCTGACAATATTATGGAAAAACAGATCCTGTTTGTTGGTCAGCGATTTTCAGTAAGAGCTGGGAAACAGCATGTATGTGATTAACATCTCCAAAGGTGATTCTGATACAAAGTGTTGGAGTCAGGAAGGCCGATGCTAAATAGGAAGAACACAAAAGAAAATAATATAAGTAATTTATTATAAAATTTTAGAGCTTAGGGAATTTTGAAAAATCTTCAGAGACTTTCCTAATAATAAACCTCATTGAGTATCTCTGGTTAAAAGCACACACATTTTGATCACTGCTTCAGATTTGCTGAATAAGAATCTCCAAGAGAGAGATCTAAATGAATTGTTTGAAGTTCCTTGTATTAAAGGAGGACCAAGTCGGACTGATGAAAATGGAAATTTAAAAGCCGTAAACTGATTGTCAACATTTGTCACACTAACTCTTTTTGGCACAAATAATCAGAGACCTAGGTTCTACCTGGCTGTGCTACAAAATACCTGCTAGACAATCAGCTAATGTATTTTTTCCTTGGGCTCAAATATTTCAAAATAAAACGAGACTCTTGGACTAAATTGTCAAGGTCTCTTTTAGGATAAACTTTTTTTTTTCTTTTAAATATTAGTTTAATTTTATTTATTATGATCACTTTTTTTTTGAGAGCTTTTTGGCTATAGGGCTCGTGTGCTCGCTAGACAGACAGACACAGAGAGACAGAAAGCAAGAAATCACCCCCCACCCCAGGGGAGATGACCATGCCACAATCCCTTCTCCTCCATTTCCTCTCGGGATCTTGGGCACACACATACACATGCGCCCAGCGTGAGTTTTAAGCCAGCGGGTCTGGGACGCAAACCGCAGTTGACTACATGGGAGTCCAGCGACATAGCCATTACGCTAACTGCTGGTCCCATCACTTTTTAAAAACTGGACCAGAGAGAGACAAAAAGAGAGAGAAAGCAAGCTGCTAAGTCCAGGACTCTAGCACCTTGACCACCCTACCACCTGCTGGGCCCTCAGGATAAACTTCTAAAAAACAGGTAATAAATCTAAAATATTTCAAGCATGAACCAATCATTCTATTTGTGGCCAAAAGTCCTAATGTATAGAGCCTCAGTTTCCAGTTCTTTTCAGAATAAGTGTTCAGCCACATCCTTTTCCCATTTCTCTAGGGCTCAATGACAAAGTCAAATCGTGTATAGTACTGCCACCTGCTGCAATGAATGAGCACTTCAACACGTGGGAGACAAGCCTGTCTATTAGAAGACTTTCCAAATCCACACAGCCCATTCTGAATTTCTTCCCCTTCATTGATCAGTTAAAACCATTGCACTGCTTGGCTCTGGAAAGGTAATTTATACACAGTGAAAAACATTAGAAAGGTGTGAAAGTCAGCATGGTACCAGGTAACTCTCATCTACACCCCACGCCCTTTACTCTCACTACAATTCTCAGTTAATTTCTGTTATCATTTTGTTTTCGTTTTTTTGCTTCCGGAGACATTCTTTGTATGTATATAAACTTATATGTATACTTTTATACTTTTAAAAATTTTTTGCACAGGTATTACACACTAGTGAACTATTCTGTACTTGGCATTTTAAATGATTTCATTTTGGGAATTGCTCCATGTCTATACATTTTGAGCTACCTATTTTATTTATTTATTTATGAAAATTTTTATTTATTTATTTATTTTAATTTGCCCAGAGAGGGACCAAGTGAGAAAGAGAGAGAAAGTGAGAAAGCAAGCTGCCGGGTCCAGGACTCACACATGCAGTTGGTCTTGTGGGAGTCCTGCACCTTTAATCACCATGCCACCTCCTGGCCCTTGATCTACCTATTTTTAAAAGTCTGCCTAGATTCCATTTACCTAACTGTAGTCTAATTTGTTTATCAAATCTGAGGCTGATGGACATTTTGGACTTTTTCATGCTTTGTTGGTATTTTTCCTCAAATGTTTGTATATGTCATATTTGTATAGATTTACCTCTAGGATTAATTCCTAGTAGTCAAGCGGATGGATTTGAAAGGATGTCGCCAAGTTCACCTTTGAAGAATTCGAGTTCATTGACATAACATGTACAAAGCATTGCATTTTTTCAAACACTCCTGCACTGAATATCATTAAATGTTCTTTTTTTCCTGAGCTTGAGACAATTTTGGTAAATTTAAAGTCACTTTTCTGTCTTTGTCGGTTGTCTGCTTATGTGCTTGCTTGTTTTCCTATGACGCAGTTTATCTTGGTATTAACTCGTAAGACAGTTCTATCTCTATCATCTATTTATCCTCCATGCATCTTGAATTTATCTGTTCATCTACCCTCTACCTAAATGGAAGTACCCATTTGTCATATTTGTGGTACAAATATCTTTTCCTATCTTTCCCATATTTTGACTTTCGTTCTTTCTTGCCCTACAGATATTTCGAATTTTTATATAGTCATATTTAACTTTTTAAAATTTCCACACATTTTGTTTTACTTAGGTTTTTTCCCGTTCTCATTTAAAAAAAATTCATATTTTCTCCTTGGATTTCTTTTCCTTTTTTTTTTCTTACTGTAAATCTTCATCCATCTGAAAATTATTTTTGAAGAAAATATATTTAGGTAGTCATCTATTCTAAGAGATATTAATTATTAAATAATCTATTTTCCCCAGTACTTTATGCACCTGATTTTATTTCTGCACTTTTTCTTAAATTCCATTAATCTGTCTACTTGTGCTTAAATTGCTGCCAACTTCAGAGTATATTTTAAGATCTAACAGAAATCGTACCTTTTCATTATCATACTTTTATGTGTTTTCTGGATGTTATGGCGGGAGCCATAAGCTGACTTTTTTTTTTTTTTTTGGTGTTTGGGGGGGGAGCCATAAGCTGACTGTCAACATTTGTCACACTAACTCCTTTTGGCACAAATAATCAGAGACCTAGGTTCTGCCTGGCTGTGCTACAAAATACCTGCTAGACAATCAGCTAATGTATTTTTCTTTGGGTTCAAATGTTTTAAAATAAAACAAGAATTTTGAACTATATTTTCAAGGTCCTTTTTAGGATAAACTTTTATTTTTAAATATTTGTTCAATTTTATTTATTATTATCACATTTAAAAAATCAGACCAGAGAGAGACAGAAATAGAGAGATTTTTATTTTATTTATTTAGAATTTGGAATCAATTTTTTTTTCTTCATTCCACTTTTGTCCCACACCTCAGTCCCCATCCTTCCATACAAAATTCTCTGGGTATTTTTATTGGAAATATATTAAGTATATTATTAAGGAAGAACCAATACCTTTTATTATCAAAGGTTCCTATTCATCAATGGCAAATTACTCAAATATTATACACTT